GGGAAGTCAGGACGCTCCTCCTGTGCCTGAGAGTGACAGTGTGTTAGGGCTGGGAGGAGCCGGGGAGTGACCCTGAGGGACAAGAGCTCAGAGGTTTGGGGGTGAATGGGGAGGCAGAAAAGGCAACATGGTGAGGAGCAGGGGAGGGAGGAGCACCCGTGGCAGAGAGGAACCACCATGGGGTCTGCACACAGAGCCCTGCCCTCCAGGGGCCACAGGGACCTGCAGAAAGGATGGGATGATGGCTGGTGGTGTGAGGCAGCTGGACAGACACTGAGAAGCCATGGGGAAATTGACCCTGTCACAGGGCAGTCCTGACTCAGCTCAGTGTAGCCCAGTGGCAGCTCTGTGGGCTCACATGGCTGTCACCTGTCACCTACCTTGTACTTCCAATGAGGGACAGTCCTGCCTCCTCCATACTCTGAGGACACAGTGCAGTCCCCTTTGCACTGAAAGATCCCTGTGCCCCCCGTCCTCCCTGGTGCTCTGGTCACTCTGGGCAGGGACCTGCCTGTGCTGACTGACGCTGCTGCTGCTGCTCAGGTCTCCACAGTGGGAGCAGGTGGCATCTCAGGATCCCGCCCGGGCTGGGGTGGGGAGGAGGTACCTCTCTGGTAGTGGGGACAGGAACCTGCCTCTGAGCTGCCCTTGCACAGCTCACAGTGTTTTCCTGTGAGTGTATACGACATGCGAGTGTCCATGGAGCCCTGTGGGGACACCCAGCACCGCCTGCTGGGCCCCACACTGTCGACAGGGGACACCTGAGTCTGTCCTGTCCTTCTTGGTGGGTGGAGTCACCTCATGCAGGTGTGACCCTGCCACGCTCCTCTCCAACCCCTGTTGGGACTCTGGCCTGGACAGAGGACCGGTTTGAGTGGAGAAGGAAGAGATGGCCTGAGTCTCCCTCGGGCTGAGGGAAGCCCATGCACCGTGTGTCTCCATGGCTAGAGCTGCTCCCTTGCAGGAGAGTCACACATGTGTGGGGTCATCACACCCAGTCCCACAAGAGGAGGCTCAGCCATTTGTCCAGTGAGGACCTAATGGGCTCCCCCGACTCTCTCACATCAGACCCGCAGCGCCCCCTGCTGGCCACAGCCTCGCACGCTCTGCGCATGTGCACTGCACAGCTGAGCCCTCCTGGCAGATGAACCTGCTTCTGGCCCTTTGCCCACCTGGGAAAGGTAGTGGGGTGCGCTGGAGCGTTTGCTCCCCAGGGGCCCTGGTGTGGGGTCACCATGGACTGCAGGGATCTACGGGTGGCCTTCTGCACCCCAACCCTCTGAGTCGCCACCCCCTGCAGGGACACAGTGACCCCCTCGGTGGCAGGTCATGGTTTCTACTCTCAATTAGGCTTTCCACACACTCTGCTCACACCTTCATAATCTCCGTCTTTATTGAATTTGTGTGTGATTACCTGATTTTGAGTGTGCCCGCCGTACCTGCAGGACACGTATCTGACACTCCCAATCATGTTTGGATCACAGACAGACTGATTAGTGTAGGATCAATCAACTGTACATGCAAGAGTCATAACTGTCAACACACTTGTTTCCACTGGAAAGATTCTGTGTCCTGAGCAAGGAACAGCTGTCCACACACAGGTGACAAGACGCAGAATGTCCTCTTAGCCATGGTGCTGACGTCCTCCAAGTGATCCGAGCTCCATGGAAGGGCTGCGCCTCTCACAACGGGGCATGATGGCTGAAGTTTCCCCACAGATTCTGCCACGAGCAGTGAGGGCCCAGCGACCTCCTGGGATGGTCCTCGGGCTCCGACCCAGATGTCAGCTAGAAAGCGCTTATTTTTCTTATTTTGAGAGGGAGAGAGGGCCGGGGGTGGCGGGTCTGCTTCCCACTACGCAGCAGAGCGGGGCCCTGACCCTCGCTGCCCCAGGGCTGCCCGCCGCGCTCGGGAAGGGGAGCAGTGGCTTGCACAGACGCGTCCCCTTCAGACGGGTGGGAGGCCAGCCGACCACGGGACTCTGTGGTGCCCACTGACGCCAGGTGGGAGGGGACAGCTGTGCGCCAGTGACCCGACTCGCTCCCTCTGTCCAGTGTTCTCATCACCAGGTGGGTCACAGCTCTGCCCTCCTGGCTGTCAGGACCCCACGACAGGAGTCAGGGTGGGTACTGGGGTGCTGACTAGCTGTGCCTGGTCCCATGCCATTCTTGTCATTGCCAGGGATGGGGGTGGAGGTCCAGGTCTGCCATGGGCCCTCCTGAGTCGGGCGGGGAGAGGAGGTGACAGCTCCCGCCCACACTGCCCTGCCCAGCCTGGTTGGTGCCGGCTGGGGTGCAGGGTTGGCTGTCACTGACCCCACTGCCTCCACCTAAGTGGGCCTTCAGAGCCCGGCCAGCTGCTGCTGCCCAGGGAGATGTTGACAAACGTGTTTTGGAGTCACCACAGCCTGGGAGCTGCTGGCACCAGAAAAAAATGAAATAGGATACAATAAAGCCAGAGTCAGCATTTCTGCTGCTTCTAGGGACGGAAATGGGGCCGTTGCCCCCACACTGGGAGCTGCGGACGGTCAAGTCAGCACAGACTGAGTCCAGGACCCAGAACTTGAGGAAAGACAGAGTGAGGGCTGGTCAGTGGACAGGGACACATCCAGGATCCCTGGTCCTTCATCCCCAGCCTGACACCTGGCCCAAGTCCCCGTGCAGTGAATGAGAAGTGGGAGAAGCAGAGGCGCCAGGACATGGGAGACCCACAGCCTTGTGTCCTGAGGACCCTCAGCGGGCTCTGAGCCCCCAAGTCCTACTTGCCTCTCTGGAAGTCCAGGGGTGGACTGAGACCCTTCATGCAAACAGGCCACCCCTGGCTGTCCTAGCCCCACCCTGGACCCTGCCTCTGACCCCTGCCTGGAAAGCTGACCCTGGGAGTGGTCAGTCTGGGCAGGGCTGTTCCGTGGCTCCCCAGGGACCAGTGAGGACACAGCTGCTGGCCCAGTGAGCAGGGCCAAAGGGCTCAGACCAGGGCCAGGTGGGGCTCCCAGCTGGGACCCACAGCACAGGCCTCAGGGACAGGCCACAGCGCCCCCAGCTGCCCCGAGGCCCCCCAAACCCATGTGTCCTGTCTGCCCCACTGGGCACTTTGTCCTCCCAAAAGGGCAGAGCTGGGCAGTGTCCCTGCCCCAGCCCACCTTAGTCTCAGGTCTGCTCACAGCCTCCTCCCCTGCCCAGCTTCCCGTGCGGTTACAGGACTGTCCTGGGAGCTCAGGCTCACAGAGGGGCGCCCCTGGGGACACAGAGCAGGAAGCCTAGTGGGCACGGGAAGCACCTCCCTCCAGGGCACCAGGAGCTGCTGCCTCTTCCTCCTCCCAGGCAGAGCAGAGCCTGGTGGCCAGATGGCCAGGGGCTGTCCCTGGTCCCAGCCTCTCCCTCGGGGCCCCCTCTCCAGCAGCCTCTTGCTGACCCACATTGCAGAATGAGCAGGAGAATAAAAATAATGAACATTTGCCAATCCCAGATTGACACTGCACAGCGGCACAGACGCTGAGTGTGAGTTTGGGGGAGAGGAGGCAGCTGAGCCCTTTGGCGGGAGCCTCCCGGGTCCTCAAATCCTTGTCCCTCCTCACTGGGCACTGGGCGGGGATCAGCACCTTGTACGTGGGGACCAGCATCCTCCAATCCCACCCTGGGCACTTGGAGCAAATGCTCCTGCCACCTCAGAGAAAGCCCTGCAGAGTGTGGGGACAGTCCTGGGAGGGGGGCCCTGGCTGTGCTGGGCCCTCGGGCGCCCTGAGTCCTCTGCTGGCCTGAGCCTCTGGGAACAGAGGGAGGGAGGAGGGGAAGGGAGGAGCACAGGGGTGGGGAGCACCTCTGAGCTCTGCTCCCCAAGGCCCCTAGTGGAGCCCCAAGGCCCACCTCTCCTCGCCCAGCCACACGCCGGGCAAAGATGGGTCTATCTGTCTGTGCTGCTCCACGGGGCTGGGCAAGCCCCACTCAGGCAGGGTGTGACCCGCTCCTGGGAGCTGCGCAGGGAGAGAGATCACTGGGAAGGCTGTGGCCTGCTCGCCTCAGAGGCTCTGTGTGGGACAGCAGGTGGGGCAGGGAGCCATGGACAGAGCACACGGACCATGGATGTCATGTGATCTTCTCCAGGGACACTCAGGGACAGGCCAGGCCCACTTCAGCTCCAGGGCCCAGGTCTCTTTATTTGCATGGCTCTAGGCCCCATGTGTCCTCCCTCGTAGGGTCACAAAGGACAGTGTCCTCTTCACTGTGCACCCCTGTTACCACGGGGGCCCCACGCCTGTCCTCCGACCCCCCCCCCCCCGCATCCAGCCCCTGCTCTCTGCAGTTTGCTTTCCTGCACGATCCTGGGTCTCGGCCTCCCTGAGGACGTCTCTGTAGGAAACCTAACTGCAGAGAGCTCAGCCCTGCACAGGACAGCGGGCCTCAGCCGCCAAGGCTGAGCCTCGCGCTGGCTTCCCTTCTCCACCCGCCTGGGCCATGCCAGAGCCTCTTGATCGCTGAGCCTGCGTGTCCCTAAGTGTCTGACTTCACTGTCACACCAGTTCCTGAGGAGATGTGGAGATGGCGATCTCCCCTGCAAACACTATTGGCAGTGCTTTTAATATTCCCAAACGTCAACCCCTACCTATTAGACAATTGCTCCTCCCACCCCACAGCCCCTGGTCCCCCACGGAGCATGGAGGGACCGGGGACCTGGACGAGGTAGCCAGGTCCCAGAAACAGCACCATGCAGGAAGGAGCAGGGAAGAGAGCAGCTCCCCTGGTGGCTCTTGGCAGGTACCAGGTGACAGCTTTCTGTGGGCCGTGCTTTTATTGCTCTAGTCCCCAAAAACTGAGGTGCATCCAGCACCATCCCAACCAAACACCCAGAGAGGGGAAGAATTCCATTCAGGGGACTAAAGTAGGGAAGGGACGCAGTGCTGGGCATTGCTATCCCCCATGATTCCCCACCCACACGTGGGCGCTCTTATCACCTCTGGAGTTAGGTGCTCTGGGCACACTGGGAAGCCAGTGAGAGGAGCGTTATCTCATTGACCCCATGACGATGAGCCAGGTGACGGGCATCAGGCCTTCTGGGAGCACAAGCCAAAGCAGAAGCCACAACCTGAGCACGTTAGGGTCGAAGGCAGGGACAGGGAAGGGATGGGTTTGAGGATAGGGCATGGAGGGCACACTGTTTACTACCTCACCCTGGCATGGGAGCTCCTGGTGGCACCGGGCTGGATTCAGCTGTGACAACAGTGACACCTGAGCATCAGCCTGGAGCCCGCAGGTGTCAGGGAGGCCGTGTTGACAAAGGAGAATCAGGCTGGAGCTCCAAACACCCCTCACTCCTGTCCCAGTCACAACCTCAGGCTTTCTTTCTGGGACCCTTGGAAGCAGCCCCCATAGTCACCCCCATGTGTGTGCAGCCGCCTGTACAATAGACTGTGACCTTGAGACTTGGGCCCATCCCGAGCTCCACGGGTAGAGTGACGCATGCGCAGGTTGGGTGGTTTCCGGTCCCTTATGTCCCACGGACCTCACTTCCTAGGCTGCTGTTGACAAGCCCAGTGGGGCAGGAGAGGAGAGGACACAAGTCAGTGCCCGTGGGCTCAGGGACACCCACCAGTGGGTCCCCGTGTTCCCGAGTGGGATCAGCTGGGAAAGTCACGTTCCTGGGACCGACTTCCCCAGACGGCCCTGGAGCGGCTCAGCCTCTGGCAGCAGTGGAGGGCTGCCCTCCCCCTCCCCTCCCCAGGGAGCTCTGCTGGCCTCGGGCCACAGCCACCCGTGCCCAGCCCTCCGTGCTGACGTGGTGACTGAGGCTGCAGGCACACAGAGTGGGCCCGGCCAGCCCTGTGCCTGGACCCAGCCCTGACCCGTGTCCTCAGGCAGCATGTCCCACGGCACCGCCTGGTTCCCGGGCTGGAGGGGGCCCGGGCAGCCCCTGCACAGATGGCTGGGAGGGGAGGGGGGTGTCTCTGTGACAACTGGAAGAACACAGTCCAAGCTGCAGGACCGTCACCTGCCGGGAGTGTCCCTGGGCACAAACCAAGATGTGAGCAGGACAGGCTCGTTTTCCACCTTCAAGAAAATAAACAAAGAAAAAACCAAAACAACAACACAGGGGCGCTGGTTTTAGCATATTTGGATGAACAGGAAACAATTCAGTGTCATCAGGGTTTTGTTTTTTGTTGTTGTTGTTTGTTTTTTACTGATTTTAGTTTTCCTGAGACTTCAGATACACTGAATCCAAAGGTGAGACTAGAAATATTTGAAGGCAGAGGTGCTTCCAAATAGGTTCTCTGCACATTGAACCCATTTTTAAATTTCAATATTGTCACAGAGGAAGAAAGTGAGCAGGCTGAGGTTTTTGTCCCACTTCCCCATCTCCCTGTGTCACTGTGATTAACAGCACCGTCCCAGGTGTGACAGTGATAGTCAGCCTCGTCCTCAGGCTGGACGTTGGAGATGGTTAAGTAGCGGTCAGCCCCGGAGCTGGAGCCCGAGAAGCGATCGGGGACCCCGTCCCCCTTGCTCTGGCTTCCATCACTGTAAATATCCATCAAGTACCGGGGCGCCTTCCCTGGCTGCTGCTGAAGCCACGCAATGGTGTAGTCACTGTGCGCACTGCTCAGGGTGCAGGTGAGCTTGGCCGAGGCTCCCGGGGAGGCAGATGCAGAGGGCGGCTGGGTCAGCACAGGCTGGGACAGGGACCCTGGAAATACAGACACACATTATGTCCTGGAGGAAGGACAAGAGAGAGGGACAGTGAGGCATGGGTTTGGGAGGGGGTGTCAGTGAGCTGGGATCAGGGTGCTGGGGACCGTCCTGACCTGTGCAGTGAAGGAGGAGGGTGAGGAGGAGGAGTGGGGCGCAGGCCATGGTGCAGACACCCAGAGCTCTGTCGCGGCTGCCACGCTGCAGGTGTCTCTTATCCACCCTCCAGCCCAGAGGAGGGACAGGGCCCTGCATGCAAATGTGCTGCTCCTCCCCTGCCACCAATCCCGCCCTGGGCCTGTGTGCAGCCCCAGTGGCTGGGTGTCAGTTCGGAGAGGGGCGGCTTTGGCTTCTCCTGGCCTGAGGCTCCCCAAGGGCCCAGTGACCCTGAGCAGAGCCAAGTTCAAGTGTCTCATTTCCCAGCTGAGCCCCACAGCCCTGCCATGGCAGGCCCACAGCGCCCCCTGCTGCACAGGCTGAGGCCCATGGTGCCTGTGACCAGATGCCAGGGGCTCCTGAAAGAGACTCCTGTCCCCACCAGGGCCTTGACCACTGCCCACTCCCTGCCCAGTGACAAATTCAGGCCCCTCCTCTGGTCAGTTGCTACCTTGTCTCAGTCCTTCGTTTGCTATTTCCGCCTTATCAGTGGGAACAGGACACACCTCTCCCTCCACTTTAAAAGAGGAAGGGGTGACCCCAACGCAAACTTTTCCCTGAACCC